TCAGCAGGCTTTTAAAGGCCTGAGGCAGGGGCTGCCATAGAGGCAGCCCAGCCCTGGGGCAGCAGAGGTTCTTAGCCCAGAGCCCTGGGGCTAGCATCAAGCTGACCCCCTAGTGGCAGGGCTGACCCGGGAGCAACCTTGCTCCCAGGTCGCATCTACATGTGCTTTCCTGTGCAGTAACTTTATATTTAATACCTGCATTTCCAAATGTACTTGTTACTAGGGGTTTTTACTGCACAGTAAGAATGCACACATGTAGACATGTGTGCTTACAGCACAGTAAACTACATTACTGTGCACTTAAGTGTCTCGTGTAGATGAGCCTAGTAAATCCCTACTTACTTTCTTTGCATCATTTAATATTTTGTAGGCCTCTGTCATGTACTGTCCCCTGTCTCCAAGCATCTCATTTCTAAACTAAAAGTCACAGACCATCTAGCCTCTCATATGGAAGTCCTTCCATACCTCCAATCATACATGTTGCCTTTCTCTATACTTTTTCCAGTTCTTCCATGTCAGGGGTGAGCAATTATTTGTGCCCAGGGGCCACATAGGGAGTTTTGTCAAACTGTCATGGCTTGGGTCAGCACCCCCTCTACCCCTGCCACCACAACTCATCAAAACTCCCTAAGTGGCATGGGGCCACGGGTAAGAGGGGAGTGGTGTTGAGGACCCAAGAGGGCATGCAAGGCTGGGATCACAGGCTGAGGTCATGTGACAGCCCCTGCCCTGTGGGGGAGTGGTGGAGGTGTGGAGGGGGCATATGCATACATGTGTGCACAGGGGGGGCTGCTCGGGTACTAGGTCCTGGGAGCCAGCTGGGGTTGAGGGGAGGAGGAGAGGATGGGCGCAGTAGAGCTCACCCGGGCGGTACCGTCCATGGCTGCCCCTGCAGTGCTCTACATGGGGCCAAGCCCCAGCCGCTCCCACCCAGGGCAGCCCATACCATGCTCCACCCCATGCCCACTAGTCTGGCCTCGGTCAGCATGAACAGATTCTGGGGGGGCCTGCACCTGTCTGGGTGCTGCTCTGCTCCCCTCGCCTCCAGCGGCAGGTCCTCCTCCTGCTGTGTCACTCTGGGCTGGAAGCTTCAGCTGGGCGGCTCCTGCCCCAGTGCATGGGGCTCTGGATCCAGCTGCAGCTCCCAGCCACTTTCTACCCGCTCAGCTGATACTTTGTTTTGTTTACCAACCTCTTTCTTGATAATTCTATACATTTTATTTACATTTTGACCACCACTGACTATCCACAATGACTCTGAGATCTCTTTCTTGTGTGACAACAGTTAATGTAGAACACATCATAGTTTATGTAGATTTGGGTTATTTCCTTTGTCCTGTCCATGGGCATCCCTTTGCAATTACCAACAATGAACTTCATCTACCATTTTATTGACCAAGGCTAGTTCTTTATCTGAATAATTTTGTGTTGTCAGTGAACTTGGCTACCTCGTTATTTCCCCCCTCCCCTTTCCAGGTCATGTATGACTATATTAATTATTAAAACCAGTACGAATAGAGATCCCTTGGGGAACCCTACAGTTTACTTCTTTCTGTTCTAAAAACCGCACTTTTAATTTCCTCCGTTTTCTAGCTTTAAACTAACTTCTAATCCACATTTGCTCTAATTCCATGGCAACCTAATTTAATTAAGGGTTGCTGGCACGGAACCTTTCCGAAGGCTTTTGGCAGTCCAGATAAGCTATATCAATTGGATTGCCCTGATCCACATTCTTGTTGATGCTCTTGAAGAACTGTAATAGAAAAGCCCAGGAAGTCTTGTTCATCCATCTGCTTAGCAAACATTTTTTTAATTACTGTTTCTACCAGTTTGCAAAGAGAAGTTAGACTTACTGGCCTGTAGTTCCCTATATCCCCCCTAGAGTCCTTTTTAAAGATTGGAGTTACTTTGGCAATCCTCCAGTCCTCTTGTTCAGTTAACTTTGCCCAGTACTGAATCATTTAAGATAGGATATATCCTAACTGCTTGGACCCATCTTCCAATCTCAACACTACAGATACATTTCTAGTCTTAGAGAAATAAAGGATCTCAAACCTGTGACATACAGAAAAGCAGTCACTGGTTATGGATGCAAGTGTTAGGTGAAGTACTTTTTAAGCGAAAATTTTGCATTCAAATTGGTGGAGGAAAAGGTACCAAAAAACCCAGTTTCCATCTCTATAAAATGGCAGTTGTTTGAATTTGCTTGTTGGTTTGGAAAGTTAAATAAAATATGATATACAATTATATTTAGGGACCACAGGAATTTGCATTGGAAGTTTGCTGTGCAGTGGCTCCCTTAATCTTGCAGTTTCCAACCCCCACCTTCCCCAGCTACTGATTGGTGGAGGGGTCCCCCATGAGCCCTGCTGCTCTTCGCTCACTCCTGATGGCCAGGAAGTAAAAACCAGTTTTAAATATGCCACCGTTTTTGCCTCCTGTCTGGTCAGCAGATGGGGCAGGGGCACTGGGGCACCTCCGCCAATCCGTAGTGAGAGGCAAAAACTGAGACATATTTAAAACCACAGTTTTCACCTCCCCGCTGATCAGGAGTGAGCAACGAGGTTGACAGGGCCCCTCTGCCAACTAGTAGGGGGAGGGAGGGTGTGGGGGAAACTACAAGATTAAAGGAGCCACCATGCAATGCACTTCTGGCACAAATTCTAGTAGTCTCTATATTCAACCAGCAATCTTACAAACCATCATACCATATATTATAAGAAATGCCACAGTGCAATGCTACCACGTACCATATATTATAAGTATAGGAAATGCTACAGCGCAGAAAATGTTTACTCTGATGTGTGGTTATGGTGTTAAAAAGGGTGATCCTATAAAACTGACTCTTCCTCACTTATCTGATGTGCTCCTTGTTTGTATTTCAAAGTCACAACTAGGGACAAAAAATACATGGTTTCTGTTAGCACTGCAAAACCAATGCAGAACACAACCTAAATTCCGTTTTGGTACATGCTTCATTGTCATCATCATAATTGTTCAGTGCTATATATAGAATTACTGATTATACTGTGCAATCCATTACAAAACAAACAAACAAACAAACAGACCTTTGCTTTCAGAATCAAGGTTGAGTTTGTCTTTTAAAAAACTACTTGTAATTAATATTGGTTAAATTAGCAAGTGTTATCTGAAAATGACTATTTTGTATTTTTTAGTTAACAAAAGAAAACCATTTTTCAGTTATTTAATTGTGCCCCAAGTGATTATGTCATATGACACAATTCCATTAAAATAAAAAACACAGTACTGACTACTGCATAGTACAGACATACCCAAAGCTAACTTTAAGCTAGCCAACTCAAGTTCTGTGAGCATTAATAGTTATCCCTGGCAGGAGATCTGGAACCATTATTTTGCTTTTCTTTATACAAACTTAAACTCACAGGGAGGAAGGTCAGAATGTAGGCTGACCACATGGAAATCCGGGACAATGCCCTCTCACCCTCCCCCCATTGTGCTCTCACAAGTCAGCAGGGACAGGGCTGCATGCCGGGCAGGCAACTGTGCCAGCCTGCAAGGCATTCCACGTTGCTCCAAGTTCCAACCAGACTGTGTCCTTGCATTCGAGGACACACATTATAATTCTCAACAGACGGCTGAGAATTATAATGCGTGTCCTCGAAATCCGGGACTTTTCCTGGCAAAACTGGGACAGATGGTCACTCTAGTCTAGTCTACCCACAACAAAGGGTAGAAAGATGCTGCCAAACCAAAGTGGACCAGCTGTGAAGGGATATATTCCACTACAGCTGATAAACTTTATTAGGCAATACATACATTGCTCATTGTCTCGCATCAGCCTCTGGGTGATGTGTTCCTCTTGCCCAAGAGTTATTCGTGTCCCTTGGGCTCCGCACTGACCCCTGACTCACACGGAGGCATGGGCCCCAGCATGGGTCAAGATAGTGCAGAGACACAGGAGCTGGAAAATTCCTGGTACCCTATGCTTCCACATGGGGACCCATGCCTCCGTGTGAAGCATGGGCAGGTCCTGGTAAGGAGAAATGGGGTGCCAGGGATTTCCCAGATCCCATGCCAGGACTCACACTGACCCATGCCTCCACTTGATGCACAGGTCAGCACAGGTCCCAACAAGGAGACATAGGGCAGCACAGGAGCCAAAGAAATCCCAGGGCCCCATGCCAGGACCTACATAGGCTTTCCCCATTTGCAGAGATGCAATCCTGGAGATACAGGGGTAGGTCTGCAAATCTGGGAATCTTGAGTTTTCCAATTCACAGAAATGTGCCCCAGGCATCTCTGTAAGTATGGCAAGTTAAGCAGGTGCTGTAGGTGTTTGAGGGACCTGATCCTACCTGTGGTGTGCAGGACTGGCCCTTCAAGCCCCAAGAGCACCTGCCTGTGGTGGCAAGAGTGTGCAAGCAGCTTTGGGCTGTCCAAACCCTACCACCACAAAGCAAATAGACAGCTACTGCAATAAACTGGGACAATGTATTAGTACCTTTTATCATCCCACTGATGGAGTGTGACAAAGGCTCCAAACGTCTGTGCGCTCACCATTTGTCCCACCATAAAAATTCTGGTGGCACAAATGTGACTTCAGACAACACCTGTTTCTATCAAAAGGCAGCAGTGCACTTGTGCATCTTATTCACATGAAAAGTAAATTTAAGAGCAAGCAGCCCCTATGACAACATACTGAGAAAATTATTTAGGTGCAATCCTTTTCAACTGGCCACAAAAAGCCCATTCCAGTTATTACTGAGGATAATAACTCAGTATACTGAGAAAAGGATACTGGGAAGAGAAAAATAAGAGTTTTGGCTGAAAGAACTCAGGTTCATATTATATTTGAGTCCTGCTTGTTTACTCAGCCTTAGCCTTTGGGCTAGTAACACGATGCTTGGATGTTATTTAAGGAATAACCAAGACGATGTGATAAAACTGACCATAGGAGAGCAGCAACTTGTAGAAGAAACAATAACACCATGTTATTACTTCTGAAACAGTGTTCTTACCAAGTGGAGGTTGAAGCATACCACCTTTCTTTTCACAGGTCCCAATTGGCTGTATGTCAGAGGAATCCACTAGCCTCCAAAAGTCATTTTTGTTGTCACTTCCATCAAGCCGCAGCCTTAGTCTGGCACCAGTAATTCCAATTATTGTAGCTATACACACTGAGGTAACATTTCGAGGATCATGGGCTTCCAGTTTCATACCAACTTTAAAATCATTGGTTGGTGGGATCCTAGACTGCAGAAGGGGAGAAAAGACTTTTTCTAGTTGTGTTGCAGTACTGTTTAAGTTAAACAGAAGAGTATTCTTGAGTTTACTGGGTTTAAATAAAAGCAGTAACAGCATTTTGAAGAATAGGAAATCTCATCAATTTGGGAATTTAAACCAATGAAAAAATAAACATCAAATTAGGAATAGAATGGCTTGGAGTGTCTCCTAGCAAAACTGGGTATCTGTTTTTGTATTAAGAGGATTAATTCCTTCTTGATAGAAAAATAAGTATCAATGAGGGGGAGACAACATATCATCTGGAGAAAACAAGAACACAAGAGGAAAATAAAAGAGCAACGAACATTATCTAAGGTGACATATAATTGGACATGCTAGGGTACATAGCATGAGACTCTCTTTAACAAGGTAAGTTTCATTTACTAAACTAAAAACATTAAAGTAACACAGAATGATGTGTTGTTTTATTACAGTTATGTTAGAGCAGTGATCTCCAACCTTTTTATGGTGAAGATCACTTTTTGTA